ATGTTGAGCAGCCATTACCTCTGCCTGTCAATATAACTTGTTTTCAATTACACTTCAAAGACTTAGCACAGAAGCCGACGACGTTCCTCTACAAAAGCTTGAATTTTGCAAAATAACCATTGACTAGGAAAAAAGGTGAGATGGGTGGGAGACCTCTTCCAAACGGTCAGTGCAGCTAGGTCTGTTTTCCAACTCTCCTTTGTTTACTCTCTCATGCCTGATCATAGTTATAAGAGCGAAATTTGCGAAAATAGTACTGAAGTGTCCAAAAATGCGCTAGGTTTTAGTTTCACCTTGAAAGGCGATTTGAAAACAAATTCAAAAAAAACAGCAAGACATTCGGGTGTGTGAGTTAATCTTAAAATACACTCAACCACCTTAACTGAACAGCATAGCATAGAGCCTCATCTTTGCAAAAGCGTAAGATGAAATTCGAAGACATCAACAGACTATAGAATGTGGCTGGTAATGCTTTGCGCACTTTTCAGTCTTTCAGATGATGAAAACATATGCATAAATGCGACCTTATTGCAAATGGGCGCGCTTGCGACGTCACATGGTACGACATGAAATGACACCACGTTTGTGACTTCAGCCTAGCACCAGACAAGACGTATGGTTCGACTCAAAAGAGTACCACATCAAAACGTCAATATCACCACAAGGACGCCATTGAGAGAAAACTGCTGCTCGACTTTTATTAACCAAATAGCTAACCCCAAGGGACCCGAGTCATAGAATATCGAAATCCAAAAAGGCGTAATTTAAGTGCAACTGCCACTGCAAACATGATTGCAGACGTGCTCAGAGCCTCAGCAATATTTTCGCCTTGTCGCATATATGCACAATATTGATCATCACAAACAAGGTGTATAAATTTAAAACGTTAACGCGATCGGTACTTTTAAAGCTAATGGGGCTTAAAACGGTGTAATATGTACAATAGGCAAAGAGGCTTGATCCTTAAACTCACATTTATCAGGTGCACATCATCGTCAAGGTCATCACCATCTTCAAAGTCCAAAAGGGCCAGGCTCTCATCACCGTACACATCCCGAACTTGACATAGCAACTCCTCCATATTTGCAGCCTAGAGTAGGGATGCGCGAAAAAGGTAACAATAAGCTCAAGGCGAGAAAGAAGAGTAGCGCCTAATTCCGCCTACACCGACAGTAAAAGCGTAAATATGAGACGGAAAAATCATGTGAAAAGCAGTATGCTCAAATCTGACTACTAATAGCGACGAGGGGCAAATTCTCCAGGTGGAGAGCAAAAAATAAATGAGTACTACGAATATGTAAAGTGGAAACAACTCCACCAGCATACCCGAGTGAATTGTCAACGATAAAGGATGAATCAAGACCGAGATGACATAAGTACTACGCGCTAACTCTGCGAAACACGCATTCGATATTTTCTTTATAACGCACAAATCACACAAGCTTCCTTACAAAATACCCATTAAGTAATTGCGGCTTCAACTTCTGGGGAGCATCAAAACTCGTCACATAGCGAACAATTACGAACTGCAGGAACAGATATTGCCTTAAAAGTGTTATCGCCATTTAAGTGAAATGCTAATGCTAATATTAGGCTTTTGTTAAACGATCGGTCAACTAGACATAGGGCATTCGGTCAATATCATGCCATCTAACTCATCCCTGGATGGCCTTTAATTGAACAAACGAGACATTTCCACCATTTGCGTCTCTCGAATGTTCCGAATCGCACTAGTTTATTTAAGCGAAATAATAATGCTTGTAACTCTTAATGCATTTGTCTTCTCAACTATAAATGCTAACATGCAACCGAGGCATTCCAAAGCAAACACCCCTTCAATTA